CAAGTATTTCCATATTCATTTCCATATTCACAATCCTCCCCTTGATCCTAGATACTAAATCTCAATGACAGCAGAAATGGTTTCCCAAAATACCCAGTGATTTTAATTCAGTCGATCCTGACACCGAATGCAGGAGCAGGTCATTCTGGGTCATCTTTTTTGGCCAATCTTTCTTTGGCATGCTGTCCTCCAGAACTAGGTTGCTCTGACTGACATTTTATCTTCCTGCTTACCCCAAATTCACGTTTCCCAGGACACCGGCTTGTCACTGAGACTTGCCTTTTATCTGGGGGACTTGCACCCTGACACCAATATGAAAAACAGCTATAAAGTAACAGGGTGAGCATTTGATGATGTTTAAGCCATCTCTTCTGATGATACACAGAACCTGGGAGAATGACTTTGTTAAATGAAGGGACAAATAAAGACCTGATACTGGAGTATTTTTAGACTCGTTACAAAATAGCTGTAAATATATTAAGCCTGAAGATAATTTTCTGCTTCAGATAAGGTTTTTAAATGAAAACATTCAAGTGGATGGTTGATTAATAATTTATATGTAAATTATATATAACTCTTATTGTAGAGCACCAATGACATGCATCATCTAATAATTTATATATGGCCTGTATGACACCTAGACCAAATAGAAAATCACATACAAATTTAATTTCTTATATCTGGTTGAATTCTTCCTGACCAAGGGAGAAAACTTTCAGACTGAGAAATATCTGAGTAGGCCTTTACGATGATGTCAAGTTTTGCAAGTGAAGAAACATGATAACCTCCATAAAAACAGACCTGAAAAGAGAAGAAAAAGTGGTGCCCTATGTAACAGGACTAGAAACCATAAATGAGAGTGGCACTGTGTTCTTCAGAATCTTTTGCCAGAGTAGGAACTTGTGAGGGGCAAATGGGGTACCTTCCTGGGTCCTGCAGTGGATATTATCTTGTAGGATAGGCAGTGAGGGGCCCTGGCAATATTAAGGGGGTAGAGTCACATGACAGATTTACCGTTAAAGCAGCCCATTGCCACCGGGGCAGTGGAGAAGCAGGCAATCTCATTCATGGCTGGTGGAAGGGAACATCATCCTGTAGGGCCCAAATCTAGTGACTTGTCTATTCTATAAAATTACGAATCACATATAAACCTAGACCCAGCTATCTCACTTCTGGGAATTTGCCCCACAGATATGAATACAAAGTGCAAAATGATGGCATATGATTATTAACTGAACATTGATTATATTAATAAGAGGTTGGAAACAGTATGGGTGTCCACCAGTAAGGTGGAATGTCATGCAGCTGCAAAAAACAAAAACAAAATTGGGTAAATTTTGTCTTGAAATGGAAAGATCTTCAAAATATAAGAGAGTTGTAATAATCTTTTTGTATAACTCCGGAAGATTATGTATGCAAATACAAAAGGTGTTACCTAAAGAAGGAGAGTAGGAGTTCAACAGTTTACACTGGATATTTTTATTGATGGTTCAATTTTTGAACCATATAGTGTATTACCTACTCAAAAGATGTTTTATTTAAAAACTCACTTTATGAGAAAATGCTATGGCAATTCTTCAAAAAATTAAACATAGAAGTACTACATGAGCAGCAATTCCACTTCTGAGTATATGCTCAAGAGAAGTGAAAGAATGATCTTAAACAGATATTTACACACTCATGTTAATAGCAGCATTATTCACAAATAGGCAAAAGGTGGATGGAACCCAGTTGTCTATTGGCAGATGAATAAACAAAATGTAGATATACATAGAATGGAATATTATTAGAAATAAAATCAAGGGAATTTTGACACATGCAACATGGATGAGCCCTGAAGACATTATGCTCAGTGAAATAAGCCAGTCACAAAAGGACAGATATTGTATGCCTTATATGAGATACACAGTAGTCAAATTCATAGAGACAGAGAAGTAGAATGCTGATTGTGAGGGGCTGGGGGAAGGAAAGAATGGGGAGAGTGTTTACTGAGAACAATTTCAGTCTGTGAAGATGAACAAATTTTGGAGATGGATGGTGGTAATGGCTGTACAATGTGAATGTGTGTAAAACCACAGAACTGTACACTGAAAAAAAAGATACATTTTATGTATATTTCAACAATTGAACAATTAAAACTAATTATACATGAAATTCATTGTTACCAAATAAGGGATAGATTAATCAATACACGAAAGGCTGCAAACAACCGGTCTAACTGAACACTGTCACCCGAAATCTCTACAGGAGGTTTTCTAATTTTTTTGCTGGATATATGGTAATGAACTGTTTACTCTGAGCAAGTTTAGGGACAAAATAGAAAACCCCCCATGCCCAATATAGAGCTTGAACCCAAGAGCCTGAGATTAAGAGTTTCATACTCTACCAACCAAGCGGGCCACATAAACTGCGTTGCTGGTCCCCAGATTTTATGCCAAGGTGTGATTCAGGCTGTATCAGGTACCGAGATGAAAGTCGGTGTAAACCACAGTACGATCGGGCCAATAGGGCTGTTCGCAGCCTGAGGATCTCAAAGTCTGATGATTGTGCCTCACCGTCCCAGCCGCTCCGTCGGTTTTCTGCGTCCTATCCTCTGTCAGAGATCTTGCCCTTTTCCAGCCCCTGAAAGTGCAGTTTGGAGAACGGAAAATGTGCGCACTCTGATGCCACTGGCATGCTCACCCTGTGATTTCTTTCTTTTAACTCGGAGTGACAGGAAGACCCTCGGAGTGTGTGGTGGTCGCGCCGACGCCTCCAACCTGAGCTTATTTCGCGGTCCGCGGTTTTCTCCAGGGATCTGCAAATACGAGCTACATATGAACTTGGAAGAGAGCAAAAACAACTGGCGCACTGTTGCGCTGGAGATGCCGGGGATCGAACCCGGGGCCTCATACATGCAAAGCATGCGCTCTACCACTGAGCTACATCCCCTTCTGCGAGCGATTCTTCCCTCAGCTTCCCTAAACTTTTCTACTCGGTCACCCGCGCAGGGCATGGGCAGATGAACGATGTTTGAGGCTGCAAACCGATGGAGTTTGAGCCCTCAACCCATTCCCGGCGAGCAAACTGTGAAGGAGGCCAGCTGAGAGGACAGGGCTGGGATAAACACCTAGGGGTAGAAGTGGAAAAAGACGGAGAAATCATCGGGCACGATGCCCAAAATGAACTGTGAGCCGAAAAAGAAAAGTAAGGAAGACAGTGCAGGATGCTAACGTTTGTTAAACTAAAAGAGGGGAGAGCGTTGTAAAATATATGACATTTGTATAAAATAATTCCCAATTGCAAAGTCGATTGCTTAGGGTGGAGAGGAGACTGGGGCGATAACCACGCGCAAACTTTTCACTGTGAATAGCTCTGAGTTTTGAACCACGTTTAAATCAATACAATTCAGGAAAAGCTTATGGAGCGCCTACTACGCACCAAGTACTGCTCTATTAAACTGGAAGTCCAACCGTGAGCAAACGGACACCGTCCATCTCCTCTAACAGCTCGCATTTCAGGGCAGGGGGAGTGCTATAGAGAATACCCAGCCAGTGTCGGGGGAGAGTGTGGTAAGGTGCAATTTTAAACTGACCGGGGCAGGCTTCATGGAGGTGACTTTTGAAATAATGTGGGCAGTGAGCCATGCAGGTATCCGGTAAAGACAGGTCCAGCTAAAGGGAGCAGCAGTTCAAAGCCCCTGAAGTAGGATCTTTGTGTCGTGTTGCAAGAATAGCGAGGAAGTCCATGTAGCAGGGCACGAGTCAACAGGGGAGAGTGATGGGAGATGAGGGTAGAGAGGCAAGGCGCAGGGGATGGGGACAAAGTAAGGGTAGGGCCTTTGGCCGATTGCAAAGACTTCGACTTTTACACTGAGATTACTCAGTGGGAGCCACTGAGGGTTTGAGCAGAGGAGGGCCACGATCTGACTTAACATTTTAAGATTTCTCCCAGTTGGGTGGAGAAGGGCAGAGGAATGGCACAGAAGAGGAGAGAACTGTTGTGATCACCCGATCATTGGAGATGACGCAGTGGAGGGCATGGAAGAGTGAGGACATACTGAGGACTGGGGGTGGCATATGCACAGATTTTTCCTCTGGGAGCCACAGAGGACTCCCTGGTTTTGGCCTGAGCACCCGGAGGGCTGGGGTTGCTGTGAAATGGGATTCGGTGGGGAAGGCTGGGGGAGGCGCAGCTGGAGGTGCGGAGCGGAAGGATAGTTGGGTGGGGAGCTGGCGAAGCCCCTCGGCACACAGCAGGTGGGGACGCTGCAGAGTTGGATGTGGGAGCCAGGCATTCTACAGGGACCTGGGCTGGGGATGTGTACCGTGACCTCAGCAGGGAGAGGGGTTTTCAAGCAAAAATTAGTGGAAGAAATCACAAGGGAGTGAGTATAGACAGAGGTCCAAGTACTGAGCCAGGGCACGGAGAGGAAGAGGAGGCCCAGAGAAAGCCGAGGAGGTAGGAGGCAATGGAGGTGGGAGGGGAGCCTGGAAGTGCAGTCCTGGAAGGCGCTGAGAAAGGGTGTCAGCAAGGAGGGCGCATCAAAGAACCCAGGTGAGGGGAAGCCTGAGAAGGGGCCTTCGCCTTTGGGTTGGGACCACTAAGGTCACTGGTGACCATGACAAGGGAGGTTTCTAAGGAGAGTGGGGGCAAAAGCCTGCCCCGAATGGCCTCCGGAGGAGGGAATGAGGAGAGAGGGTGTGGAAGCAAATAATGCTGGCGGCTCCGGAGGGGGTTGTGGAGACCAAGTGGAGAGACGTTAGATTGGGGTTGTTTGGGAAAGGAGGATAACACCGAATTAAGTGGGGGAAATTGATTGTAAATGTATTGTTAAAAAACAAAAAGAATAGACGAGGGAGAGGTCAATCGCGGGAAAGGTAGTGGATACAAGGCCACGTTTGGGGGTGGGGAGCGGGGCAAGAGCAAGTCCCAGACTCTAAATTTAGCTCAGCACAGGGCCCGGGACAAACCTGCGCTCCGGGAACCCGACACTGTGGCCCGGGCGCCAGGTCCTTGCCTCGGCCGTGCTGGGGCGGCCTCGGGCCGCACCCGGGAGGGGTGCCCAGCTGGGCGTGTGCGCCCACCTGTTTCGGCGCGTTTCCCACGGCTGACTGGGCCGGGCTGGGGAGGCTTAGAGCCTGAGCGGGGGCGGCGACGGAGAGAAGGAGCCGCGGGACGGAGGGCCGCGGGCCAGGACCGAGGATTGACGCGCCCTGAGCGGGGGGGGCAGGGCGTTGGCCCGGGTGTGGATCCCCTCGCACTGTACGCCCCGCCCGCCGTCAGCGCGCACTCTCCGTCGCGTTTCCCAGCTGGGCGCGCCCTCCGCTCAAGCGTCGGTCAGACCCGCGTCCGCCCCGCCCTTGCCCCCCCGTGGGCGTTCCGAGGCCAGCTCCAGCCGCCGCGCTCCGAGCCGCATACTGTCCGGGCCCCCGGCCTCCCCGGCTCCGCCCGACTTCGGTGCATTGAGGGCGCACATGGCAGCGGTGGGGCCGCGGACCGGCCCTGGCGCCGGGGCCGACGCGCTGGCACTGGCGGCAGAGCTGCAGGGGGAGGCGACGTGCTCCATATGCCTGGAGCTCTTCCGCGAGCCCGTGTCCGTCGAGTGCGGCCACAGCTTCTGCCGTGCCTGCATCGCGCGCTGCTGGGAGCGCCCCGGCGTGGCGGCCCCCGCTGCTCCCCGCGCGTTGCCCTGCCCCCTGCCCTGCCCGCAGTGCCGCGAGCCCGCGCGCCCCAGCCAACTGCGGCCCAACCGGCAGCTGGCAGCGGTGGCCGCGCTGCTGCGGCGCTTCAGCCTCCCCGCGGGCGCGCTAGGGCAGCGCGAGCCTACGCGGGCGGCGGCAGGATGCGCACTGCACGGCGAACCGCTCAAGCTCTACTGCCAGGACGACGGACGCGCCATTTGCGTGGTGTGCGACCGCGCCCGCGAGCACCGCGCACACGCAGTGTTGCCGCTCGACGAGGCGGTGCAGGAGGCCAAGGTGAGCGCCGGCGCCACCCCAGCCGGTCCCCGGGTACCCCAGTTCCGGCCCCGCCTTGCGACGCACGCAATACAGACGACAGGCAGGCAGGCGCTCCGGTGAGCCCCTGCCTCCTCCTCGCGTCCCAGGGTGCCCAGCACAGGCTCTGTGACTGGACGCAGCTCTGCCTCTGTCACTCCCACACCACCAATACCACCCCCCCCCCACCCGCCTCGCGTTTCCCTCTGGGCCCCTGCTGGAGCCCCTGCGCGATGCCCCACAGACTTGGCGCTTTTCTTTCTGCGGTACCCTGGCTTCCCTCGTAGTCTCCGTCACATCCACACATCCGCTGCCCGTCCCTGCCCCCCGACTCGAGCCGTTCCCTTGGCGTGGCTCTGTTCACCGTCCCTACCTCCTGGCGCCGAGGGGGGCGACCTTCCCAAGAGGTCGGGGTATAGAGCGGGGGTAGGGGGAGCTCCTGAGTTGAATAGAGCGCAGAAAGCCCAGAGCCATCTGGGCGGTGTTGAAACTGTCGATTCTGGGCGCCTCCCTTTCCTGCCTTGAGGGCTGAGCGCGAAGGTCTCAGGCGCACAGTCCCGTCTTCCTTTGCTTCTTACTCCGCTCCAGTTCTCCCACCCACAGAGTTTTCTGATGGTGGAAGAAAAGAACAAGGCCTGTTGGGCTGCGCTGGTGATGGTGGTGGTGGTGGGGTTGCGCCTCAGCCTAGATGGTCTTGGAAAGTGAGACCCTGGGGTCTTGGAGGTCTCCCTGCAGTTGCCCTGTATCCCTTTGATCAGCCTGCGCGTGCTGTACGCACCCCGACGTCCAGGGACGACTACACCCCTGCCACGTTCTCGAGCAGCAGGGCTTTCCCTTTCTCTGGCTGGCTCTGGAAGGCACTTGCGGGGCTTTGCAGAATCCTCTCCCCACAGCGTTCCCCCTCTCACTTTCCCGCAGGAGCTCCTGGAATCCAGGCTGGAGGTCTTGAAGAAGGATCTAGAGGACTATGAGGTGTTTCGTTCCACTGAAGAGTGGGAGAGCAAGGAGCTCCTGGTGAGCCGGGCACCAGCCAGGCAGAGCCCTGGGTGACAACAGAGAGCCGCCTGCCACCCTGGCTCTGTGTGTATGGTGTTACGGTGTGTGCCTGTGGGACAGCAGAGGTGGATTTTAGAAGGACGATAGGATGCGTATTATAAAGTGTGGCCACATAATTTATTGCATAACTAGAGCTTTTGAGAGTGAAAAGTCGTGCCAACGTAACTATTCCACAGCTGGCTTCAGCAGAACTGTCAGTGACTCAGGATGTGTAATCACCCTAAGGTTACACGACACCCCAGTCAGTCAGGGCCTGTGCAGCGTCTTGTAACTGGAAGCATTAATGTTTCCGCAGAGAAACATGTTACATTCTTACGAAGTAGGAGTGAAAGTACAATAAATAGCCTTTTGTCAGTTTAGGGCATGTTTTTCCCCAAAAAGAGTTATGTAAAGTCTTCTTTTTAATTTTTTTTGTCATGTTTAGGGTCTTTGAAATTGAGGCTAAAGGGGAATGAAAGGGGCTGTCAGAGCTGCTCCAGCGCCGGCAGAGCGCCGCTGTGGGGACTTGGGTTCCCAGCAGTCTCTGCTGCGCAGTCCACTGTGCGCATCGCCCCCTGTGGGATGGGGGATATCTTGTCTTCCTTCCGATGAACAGGGAAGTGGAGCTTTCTGGTTAAGGTGGACAAATGTGGGTCACAGACTGTCATTTTCTATATCGAAAATCCAGTAACTAGCTGAATAAATAGGTGTTAAGAGAATGCAAGGACCCAGTAGGGCCTGGTAGGACAGGGCCATTCAGTTCTGGAGTTCGAAGAGGCAGGAAGAGTAACTTGAGGACTCTTCTGCCCTGAGGTGGGGAGGGGTGGGCGGAAGGGGAGGGTCCTGAGTTCAGATGCCCCAGGGTCCTTTCCTGACCCTCAGCTGCAGCTGGTATGCCTGCATCCAAAGCACATCCCAGCCATCCCGTCTGATCATTCGCTGGCCTCCATGGGAGACCACCCTCGCCCCTCCAGACCTACATCTTCCTCTGCTGGGGAAAGAAGTAAGCATCGGTGGCTCTTACAGTTGTACAACCACCCAGAGGGCCTTCCACAGTGTGGACAGCTTCATGGACTCCACTCCCCATGACACTGCTTAGGACCTTCAACTCTGTCCTCTGACAAGACCCACCCACCCACACTCTGGCCCACATATTCTTTCTAATTACACAGTGCTTGCTTAATGAAACAAGAGGTAGAGGACAACTACTGTTGCAAGATAATAAGGAGAATGAGTATTTTTATTTGAAAATGCTCTTACCAGTTTCAGGAGTGGCTCTCAAAAGAAACCAGCTTTGGTCCCCAGGGGACATCTGGCAAGGTCTGGAGATATTTTTGGATTCAACAGTAGGGAAGGGATGCTATTGGTATTTACTGGTAGAGGCCAGGGTGCTGCTTAAACATCCTGCAATGTGCAGGATAGCCCTCCACAGTGAAGAATTATGTTGCCCCAAGTGTCCATAGCACCAGGGTTGGGAAACCCTGATTTAGAGTATTTTGTCACACTTTGTTCAACTCATGTTATTTGCTTGGGGGGCCTTATGATATAGTTGCAGGAAGTTCAGACTTTGGGGTCAGACTCCCGGGGTCAGAATCCTGGCTCCCTATTCACTGGTGATGTGCATCTCTGTCTCCTCATTTTTAAATGGGATGAGAGTGTGCTCAGTCATTGGGGGTGGTCAGTATGCTGGTGTCAACATCTATAAAGAGCCCCATACTGCTGCCTGCTTGCCCAGCACCCCAGAGATGAAGGTCCTAGGGAGCAGTGGATGAACCCAGGTCTCCTGACTTCAAAACCCACTCAGTCTTCTCATCCAGCCATCCTGCCACCCCTAGAATTTCAGGGAAAAGGAACTTTGACAGTTGAGTTTGTCCTGGAAGGACAGAATCTTTCTCACCTGTACATGGCCATGACCAGGCACACTTGTTGTATCATGTGGAGTCCTTCTCAGCTGTTCAGGTAAAGAATCAAGAGTCTCAGGAGTGTGAGTCTGTGTCTGAAAACTCCCAGCGAAAGCTCCTGGCTATGATGATAACGGAAAGACTAGACGTGAGGCTTGCACACTACATACTCTGACGCAGGTGGGCATGGGAGCACTGCTACTGCGGGTAACTGACGATGATGCTGCCTCATCTACTTCCCTGCATTTCCCAGCTTCTGTATTATGAGCATGTGTTCTCTTTATAATAAGTGCTCTTTACAAAAGTGAAGTGAAGAGTGAGAGTTGCAGGGTGATGAATGTTAAAGAAATTCAACCAAGTAAAATTTAAAGATGTTATTGGCTTTATTCAGTGATTCACGAGTCAGGCAGCATCCCATCTAGCAGATAGAAAGGAGCTCCAAAGAGCTGGACATGGCAAGAGGGTTTATAGCAGGAGGGGGCAGGAACAAGGAGGTTACACTAGGCAGAAAGTGGGTTGGTTATTGCAAGGTTACCTACCCTGTAGGGGTCGGCAAGAGTTTATAACGGGTTTCCTATTGCTGTCAGGTGATTCCTGTTTGGCTGGTTTAAGATTCCATCTCTGGGGGAGCTGAAACTGTAATCAAGTTTCAGTGTGGTGAGGAGGGGCTCAGCATAAGCAACTCCATTTTGGGCCTGTTGTCTTGAAATAAATGTATTTGGGGAAGAAAAGTGACCTCAGTTTAATCTTTATGGTGGCTCCAGGAGGCACTAATTTATGTCTCCCGCTTGGGTGGTTCCAGGGTGCATTTGAAATTGCCCTAGGTTGCTGGGACACATCTTTGACAGAGGAAGCGAGAGCAGGTGTTAAGGCCACTGCATGCTCAGATATGGGATATTTAAACTAGAGGATGTGCAGGGCAGGCACGTATGGGTGGATCTCTGACCCCTGAGCAGTGAGGGGAATGGAACACTGCCCTGTGGCACACCTCAGAGGCTCCTGTCCAAATGCCATGTATTGATGCCTGTATCCCTTCACTTCTGCTACTTCTCCTCCCCTGGGACAGAAACAGATGGCAGCCGAGCGAGAGAAGGTGAGTGTGGAATTCCAGGCACTGAGGGCCTTCCTGGTAGAGCAGGAGGGTCGGCTCCTGGGCCGTCTGGAGGAGCTTTCCCTGGAGGTGACACAGAAGCAGAATGAGAACCTGGCCCAGCTCGGGGGAGAGATCACCCAGCTCTCCAAGCTCAGCAGCCAGATTCAGGAGACAGCTTGCAAGCCTGACCTCGACTTTCTCCAGGTGAACATGTCTCTGCCAGGGGTTTGAGTCATTTGTCTTAATGTATCTTGGACCACTGAGAACATAGTCAGAGCCTATGAGTTTAGCAGAATCACATACTTTGGAGCTGGGCTGGACTGGATGGAGGGAGTTGCCCTGATGCTCCTGGGCTTAGAAGCCTAAAGGGATGTGATAAAGCTTCCTTGACCATGAGCCACAGCAATAATCCTACATCATACTCCAGTTTATACACACTGGACAAGTCTCAGAGAATAGCACTTACCTTTACTATGTATGATGTACTTTGATGTTTTCTATTGTTATTTCCTTTTAAAATAAATAGTCACAGCCCACTAAGTAAACTTCTTAGGTCACAAATGGTCAAGAGCAGTCATTTCATTTAAAAGACAGAAGGGCTGTGCTTCTCTTGGGTGGGTTCAGGAGCAGAGGTTCCAGCGCATGGCTCTGGTAATGAAGGGAGCATTTGCAGAGCTGGGGGCAGGGTGGAGGGTCACTGCACTGATGAAACACCAGCGGCCAGCCACAGGGGAAACCATTGTCCCCGGGCCCAGGCAGGTGGCGCTTACTGCCTGAATAAGCCTCAGTTCTGTTTTCTCAAACGTGATGGAGGTCACCTGAAGCTGATTTGGTTTTCTTTCAATTTTGTTTCCAGGATTTCAAAAACACACTAAGCAGGTGAGTGGACCCAAGAATTCCTTGGGCTTCTCTGGCCTAGCTCTCTTTTTTCCACTGAGCTCTCTCTCTTCATTCATGACCTCTCAGTTCCCAGCCTCCCACCAGCCTCTACTGCCTTACCTGTGTACCTTCCAAGGCAAACAGAAGGTGTGCCCATGCTTGCCTGCCTAGCCGTGGGTATTCCAGCATGAGGTTGGCCTCTCCTTTAGCCACCGCTCCCCTCCGAGAGGACCCTGCCATCCGTCACAGCCCAGTGGGAGTGGGACAGTGTTTGTGGGCCTCCCTCAGGGTCCTTGTCCTGCAGGTGCAGCAACGTGCCTGGCCCCAAGCCAACCACAGTCTCTTCTGAGATGAAAAATAAAGTCTGGAATGTTTCCCTCAAGACCTTTGTCTTAAAGGGGTTGCTCAAGAAGTTCAAAGGTAGGGGCCCGAGCGTGGGGCTGGGCCATGCCGTGCTGGCTGCAGAGCTGTGTTTGGGGCTCCCAAGGATGTGCCTTTCCAGAAGCTATGAGAAGGCATGAGGTGGAGTATGTCCAGGCCAGATTGGCACAGGCAGTGATGGCAGTCTCTCCAGGCCCCTAGGGCACAAAGCTTCCCCCAGGGACAGCTGAGCCAGAGGAGTGGTGGGGGCAGAAAGAGGGATGAGGAGGGAGGGCTCAGTTCAGAGCAGCTCCAGGCCAAAGAGTGTAAGTGGGAGAGGCAGAGCCAGAACGGTGGCCCCTTCCCCGGCCCCACCGAACGACCGAGTGTCAGCTCTCTCTGCCTCTGGGTTACCTGGGCAGTGAGTGAGCCAGTGGGGCTGTGAACAGCAAGGGGTCACAGTCATCGCCCGGTCATTAGGCACACCCTGCTTTGTTTCTCTTCAGAGGATCTTCTGGGAGAGCTGGAGAAGGAGGAGAAAGGTAGGATGACTGTGACAGTGAGTGCCTGTTACCCCACCAGAGTCTGTGTCCCTGGGCTTGGTGCATGGCTGGTTCCTTCTGGCCTTGACACTGTTCTCCATTACCCTGTCCCCTCATCCTTGCTTCCCAGTCCTGGCTTCCTCAGGCCACAGTGAGCCCTGTAGACCTATAAACTGTGGGTCAGTTGCCAGGAGGAGCCTCTCCACCCTGTCCCCCTCCTAGAAGATGGAGATCCCTCCTGGGGTCTGGCTGTGTGCAGGGCTCAGGGGAAGTGGGAGGAGACTGATGGTGGGAAGAAAGGTGGTTTCTGCTCCCACACAGTGCTCAGGTGAGTGGGCCAGCCCCATGGAGAGGGCAGGGCACATGCTCCTCATACTGACCACCAATCCAGCTAAGCCTCAGTTTACCTGGGCATAATCTAAGCCTTCTGAGCCAGACCATGGATCTAAACCAACTGCTCAGCACCCAGCAGCAGCCTATCATTCGGTCTAGTGGTCACTGTGGCCTTACAGAGCCCCCTGCACTCCCACCCCCTGGCTCATCCTGGGCAGTCACACACCCCTTGCTGCTCCTGGAGGACACCAAGTGGGCACCCACCCCACGGCTCTCATACTAGCCGTGGTGGGCCTGGAAGGAGCTTCCCACAGACAGCTGCATCTCTGACTTCCTCACTTCCTGTATGTCGCTGCTCAAATGCACATTTTCAGGGAGGCCTTGCCTGGCCCTTCCTGAAACTATAGCCTGCTCTTCTGATCCCTATATGTTTATCATTTATTGTCTCTCCTTCTCTTCCTCCCAGAAAGGAAGCTACAGGAGGGCAGGGGTACTGGACTGAGGGATTCCCAGGGCCTCCAAAAGGCCAGAATATAGTAGTACTTTCAACATATGTGTGTTTTAACTTCTTATTATGGAAAATTTCAAACATACACAAAAGTAGAAGAGCCTAAACAACATTATGTGCACATCATACACCTTTATCTAATGTTTTTTCATAAACATCCCCACCTACTTCTTCCCCCTGAATTATTTTGAAGCAAATCACAGATAGGAACATATTTCCATCAATATCTCAGTATGTCATCTCTAGAGATATACTTTCAAGAAAACCACAAAACCATCACAACTAGAAAAATTAATGAGTGTTTCCAATATCTAGTGTCTGAATTTCCCCAGTTGTTCTTTAAACTGGATTTGTTGATCTGTTTGAATTAGGGTCCAATATCAAGTTCATACACTGCATTTGTTTGAATTCAAACATACTTGTTGAGTGAGGGGGGGGAAAAGGACCGGGAGGGAAGTGTGCGAGGGCCGGCACTGGACGTCCCCTGTCTCTCCACAGTGGAGCTGACCTTGGACCCCAACACAGCCAACCCCCGGCTCATCCTCTCTCTGGATCTTAAGAGCGTGCGCCTCGGACAGCGCCCCCAGGAACTGCCCAGCCACCCGCGCCGCTTCGATACCAACACGCGGGTCCTGGCGTCCTGCGGCTTCTCCTCCGGGCGGCACCACTGGGAGGTGGAAGTGGGCTCCAAGGACGGCTGGGCCTTCGGAGTGGCCCGTGAGAGTGTGCGCCGCAAGGGCCTCACGCCCTTCACCCCCGACGAGGGCGTCTGGGCGCTGCAGCTCAACAGCGGGCAGTACTGGGCAGTGACCAGCCCTGAACGGACGCCGCTCAGCTGCGGGCACCTGTCCCGCGTGCGGGTGGCCCTGGACCTAGAGGTGGGGGCCGTGTCCTTCTACGCCGTGGAGGACATGCGCCACCTCTACACCTTCCGCGTCAATTTCCAGGAGCGCGTGTTCCCGCTTTTCTCCGTCTGCTCTACTGGCACCTACTTGCGAATCTGGCCTTGAAAGGCATTGCCGGGCCTCCTATAGGGCACCAGTCAGCGGCGACTCCTCCTTGTCCTGGCTGCCCTGGGAAGGAATGTCACCCTCCG